TTTTGCAGATAAGAAAACTGAGGCAAAAAACATCAAGTGATTTGCCCAGGGTCACATAGCTAAGTGTCTGAGGCCAGATTTGAACTCAGGTCTTCCTGACTCCAGGCCTGGCCTTCCATCCACTGTGCCACCTAGCTGCCTTTCCCCCAAATTATTTTGTACTTATTTAATATATATTTATCTGTATGGTTATACCCCTACGCACTGAAATGTAAACTCCTTGGGGTCAGGGACTATTCATTTTTGTCTTGTGTCTCCAGCAGTTAGCACTGTTGCCTGGCCCATAGTAGTTGCTTAATAAATACTTGTTGGACTGCATTGGATCACAGATATTGTGGTCTTACAGCCTAAACCTTTTCAGGTTGGTAGGATTTTTCCAAGCTTGGTCTCTATTGGCATACCTAGAACCTGGGTTCACCACCACGTCATAATGAGGTACAGAAAAGTGCAGGGATTAAATTCAATAACCACTTTTATTGAGAGGTAGTGTGATAGAGTGGTTAGAGAACCCTGACAGAGTCCAGTAGCTCTGGAATCAAGGCATCCCTGACAGGGCTTAGCTGTGTGATCCTGGCCTAGTCAGCTCTCTAAGGCTCCAGGTTACAGGCCACCTACATTGCCTAAGGCAGTTTCCCATACTGATGAAATCTTAGTGCTAACACTACCCTTCCTTAATTAAAAACAAAACAAAACAAAACAAAAACCAAAAAACCACAACCCAAAACAATCCTACTGTGTATAAGGCAAATTTTCAATAGTTCTGGACTTTAAGGAGCTTACCTACAACTGGAGGAAAATATGTTTCCAGATCAGTAAACACAAAGTAAATTGCAGAGGGAGAGAGGACTAATAGAGGGTTCGGGAATCAGGGAAGGCTTCTAGTAAGAGGTGTCATCTGAGCAGAATCTTAGACAAGAGAAAGGTTTGAAGCAATTGAGATCATGTTTGAGCACATGGCAGGCAAACTGAACAGCATATGGCAAGGTGTGGAGGTAGGAGATGGGATTCTAAGGACAGGGGAATAACCAGTGGTCTGGTTTGGCTCCAGAGAAAAATGTTTGAAGGAATAATACGGAAAAACTCAGAACAGAACATGCTAATTAGACTCTGTAAACAGAAACCATATAGGCTTTGAAAATGCAAAAGATATTATCAGGATTGATGGAAACTTCCCATTATGAACAATTTGCATGTGACACTTGACTCGTTGATGACATTCCTCCCCACCCCCGATGCTTTTAAAAGGACAAAGAGAAAGTAGTGCTGGCTGGAAAATCCTCCTATTTTCCCCAGGTGGTGAGGACAGGTGCTTCATGCTTCCTCAGCTTGGGGACTTCAATTCTTGCTTGCTGACAACAGTTTCTGCTGACACCAAATCACTTTACTTTCAGCCCTTCAGTAAAATCTGTAGAGAAATCCAGATGTCAGGCAGTTTGTGGGGTGGGGGAAGGGGACTTCCATGCTTTCTACCAAATCCACAGCTTAACTGAACCTGCAGCGATGTATGAGCACATGTCCTCCCACCCAGGGCCTCAAAGCTACCCTACCAGGCAGCAGATCTGGGATAATTCTAGCCAAGGTGAGCTTTCCTTCCATCTCTCATATCGAACTTGGACCCTGACCTCCCCTGGGCTTCCTCTCCCTTTCTGACAGAGTTCCACGAGATAATAAGATCATAGATTTGAAGCTGGAAAGTACCTTAGAACTTGTCTAGTTAAAATTCCTCATTTTATAGATGAGGAAACTGAGGCTGGAGGAAGGAAATGATTTGCCTAAGGTCACAGGTAGTAGGAAGCTGAGCTAGGATTTCAACCCAGATCTTCTGAGTTCAAATCATCTTTCTCCCACTCATGCTGCCTGAGATTCCTAGGAATCCTTGTAATATTACAGAGAGTGGCAGTTGGTAAAATTGTCAGGAAAGGGAAGAGAGAATGCCACTGCGCAAGATGCTTTGTGAGCTCATGACTTATTTAGGGCCTGTCTGCAAAGGTAGCAAGTAAGGGCTTTGCTAATCATGTATTAACTAATTAAAATGACAATTCTTTTTTTTTTTTTTTTCAGATGGGCTACATTTGTGCTGGGGGAGACTGCATTTAGTGGGAAGCTAGAAACTGACCACAAGATTTCAGCTAGGCAAGGTTATGCAACATGCCAGGCCAGGCCAGATGTTCCAAACAATTCAATGAAGAGATGTTGATTATATCCATACTATATATTGTTATTACATTATATAGTATTATATGGATACTATTATATCTATGTATAGACATGCCTATGGACTGAGCCGTAACCAGGGCAGGTGGCCAGCACTTTTTGCAGGGTGCTGACATCCAAGGGAATGATACATTTAACTCTAGTGGACACTCCATTCCCTCAGGATCTATGTCAGGGTTACTGGAAGTCATCCAGAAATGTCAGGTGAGTTTTCCCTGGTCCACTTCAGCCTTGCCCCCACCCTACTCCCACCTCCATCACCTTCTCCAGAAGCCAACCTCACAGCGGCCATCTCCTGACTTTTATCTGCTATCCTCCTCCCCAGATGATCAGTCTCTTGGCAAGCCTATTCTCATGGGTCTTGTGTCCTGACATTTGAAATGTCTGCTCTCAATCCCACCTCTCTTCCCACGTGGATTTTACCCTTCTAGTTACAGCACTGCCAGTGTAAATATGTGTCCCTGGAAGCCTGTCCTCCCTTTCCCCCATTGACTTCCTTCTACTTGCCATGTAAAGGGTTGAATTAAATCATAGAATCAGAACTTTATAATTGGAAGGGATCTTAGAGGTCATCTGACCCAAACCCCTCATTTTACAGATGAGGAAACTGATGCTCTGAGTGGTTAAACAATCTGTCTGCTGTCTCCCAGGTCCTCAGGCTCCAAAGCCAGGCCTCTAGTCACTATACCAGGCTGCCTCACCATCCCCAGGGACGGAGGATGGTTGAGTTTGGGCTAGCACACTTATCGTCATACCTTCCTGCTCCAGTTTCTTTCTTCCCAGCAATGGCAAAAGATGTCTTGAATAGCACCTAAGGTGAAGGGCCCCTAAAGCTGCTTCCTCACCTGGGCCAGCCAAGGTAGCCTCAAAAAAATCTTGGCGTATGGGGGCCAGACTGTGATTCTCTTTCTTGTCCTTGACCTGGGGAGTTCCTTTCTTTGTTTCCCTGGCTTGCAACCTGGGGAGGACCATTACTTCCTTTCCTCCTGTCTGCACCCTGCTCCTTCTCTGTTTCCATCTTTTGGGGAGGCTGGTGAGAGGATTCCTTCATCCATAGTTAGAACTTGCTTGGACTTCCTTGAAAGGTTCGGTGGCTAGCCATCCTCATCAAATGTGCTTCTCATTAAATGGCTTGCTTTTGGGGGGGAGGGCTCATGCAAGTGAGCTTTTGGTAATTCTCAGGGATTTGGAGAGGGGCTGAAAAGGAGAATCCAGCCAGGCTTCCCTCTGTAGGGTTTTTTTTTTTTTTTGTAGGTTTTTTTTTTTTTTTTTTTAGTATCCATGGCCTGACTTCAGGAATAGGGAAGGGACACAGGAATTTGGAAAAATCTTAGCAGAAAGTCCACCCAGGTCTAGTTGCAAGAACATGAGATTTGGAGACATAAATTGAGAGCTGCAAGCAGCCTCTGATGGGAGGCTCCCTACTTTTACCTGAAGCCTAAGGCAGGTCTTACCAAGGATAGCCAGGTAATAAGAAGCATCAGAGGCAGGATGTGGGCCTCCAGGCCTCTGCCTTAAAAGCCGTTCCCTTTCCACGGTGCCACAAAGGCCTGGGATTACAATCCCAGGAAGCTGTGTGACCTTAGGTAAGTCACTGGCCTTTGCTAGGCTCCAGTATTCCCTCATATAAAAGGCAGGTTGGGGCTCGACGAACCCTAAAGCTCCTTCCAATAAATAACTTTGGGTATGGGAAGGGCTACCCCAGCACTTCGGGAGAGCTCTGGCCCTGGGAAGGCCCCCAGTACTCAGGCTGGGTGGTAGGCATTTCCCGGGCTGCAGCCCGCTCACCCCTGGCATGTTCCCCTCCCCCAGGCTCAATAGGAACTCGCCTTCTTTTATATGCAGCTGCCAAGCAACCACTGCCTGGAAGCTGGCGCCCCTCTCTCCTTCCCTCCTCTCCTCCGACTTTGCATTTTCCTCCCCCTAACCCCCGCCCCCAACCCCTCTGCAATTTGCAGAGCGGCCCCGCCCTCCCTGGATGCTCAGTGTAGTCCCCACGGCTAGTGCGGCGTTGCCGGCCGCAGCATCTTCGCGCGGTCTGGGGCTCCCGCTGCGCAGAACTCAGGGCGTGGTCCGGCTGCTGCATCACTCCCCCACGGCTGGTGCCCCCGTCCCTTTCCTGCAGGGCGGCTCCAGCCCTGAGCGCGAGCCTTCCCGGAAGGGCGGGAGGAGAGTTCACTTGCTGCAGCCCCTCCTGCAGCCGTCCGCCCAAGCCATTGGCTCTGCGGCAGTCACCCTACGCGGGGACGAGGATGGGGACGGACGGGAGCTGCAACCTCCCGGGAGAGGCGTGCATGCGCGTGTGCCCATTCGCGGGAGGCATTTCTGCACCAATACCACCCCCTGCCCTTCCCCCTCCCTCTGCCCTGGCATGGGCCTCCCCTCCCATGGCGCTGCAGATTCTGCTTTCGGGGCTGCTGCAGCTGCAGGGGCTGCGAGATAGCGCGAGCGCGGCAGCGGCGGCAGCAGCAGCAGCTGCAGCTGGCGCGAGCTCTAGTCCCTGGCCGCCCCATCCCCGGGCCTCGCTCAGATTCGGGACCCACCCCGTCATTGCACCACTCTCCTAGTCATTTGCATATCCCTTACGCCTCAGCCAATCAGCTCCCGCCCCAACCGAAGCGGATGGCTTTTGCCGAGGAGGAAAGGGAGTGGTTGGTGGCGCATGCGCAGCGGAGTCCGCCTGGAACTCAGGCTTTTATTACTGCCTCTTCGCCCTCCCCCCCGCCCCCAATCTCTCTCTCCCTCTCTCTCCTTCTCTCTCTCTCTCTCCCTCTCGCTCCCTCTCTCTCTCTCTCTTTTTTTTTTTGCTCTAAGCCGGGGCTGGGCTTGGAGCAGAGGAAGAAAGAGAGACAGACAGACCGCGGGGTCGCCTTTGCTCCCCGTTTCTGCCGTTGGCCAGCAGCCTCCGGACCAGCTTGCCCGTTTCTGCATCCTGCAAAGAGCCAGGTTCCTTTCTGGACACCCCTGGCCATCAAAGCGGGCAATTCCTTGCAGTTTCTGGTCCCCGAGCGAAAGAGCGATGTCTTATCAGGGGAAGAAAAACATTCCGCGCATCACGGTGAGTTTGGTGTCCCGGGAATCCGGCTCGCTCTTTGTGCAGCAGGCGATGCGAAGAAATTAGTAGGCGAGGGCGGGCGCGAAGGAAGAGATTCATTAGGATCCCTCCCCGGGATTAACCTGCAAAGGCATTAAACGTGGAGCCTAATTGCATTAAGGTTTCTAGCTTTCGGGGCCGAGCCCTTCGTGGCCAGGGGCGGGCAGGGATGCTCCAGCCCCTGCTTGCGCCGGTGGTCAAAGCGGAGGGGTGCCCGGCTCAGGGTGCCCGGGCTCCGGCGGGCGCTGCGGTGGGGCATCGTGGGGTTCCGTGCAGGGAGAAATGCGAGGAGCGCTGCCAGCCTGCTCCCCCTTCCAAGAAAAGGTGTCAACCTTCCCCCTCCCCTCCATCCTATTCTCCAGAGAAAGAAGGGTGTGTGTACGGGGCGGGGTGGGTGGTGGGGAGGAAGGCAGAGAAATAATGACAGACAAGGGATGGAGGAAAGCGCCGAGTGCAGAGGGATAAAGGGGGAAAATCCCAGAACGTGCGTGCAAGACCTAAGGAAGGATGATGGAGAGCCAGGTGGCCCCGCGGCGACATGTTTTTGTTACCTCTCTTTTCCTTCCCTAATTCCCTCTTTTTTTTTTCTCCTCCAGGTCTCTATGAACTCTCCCTCTCCTCTTTGACTCGTCTCCCTCTTTTCTCTCTTTTTCTCCCTACGCATTTCCCCCTCCCTTCCTGCTCATCTCCCTCTCTTCTTCCCCATCCTCTCTTACTTGTTTTCCTTTCCCCTCCCTCTCTTGGCCTCCTCTTTCCCTCTTCTCCCCCTCATCCTCTTTCTCTTCCCCCTCATTCCTCTCTTTCCCCTTATTTCCTCTTTCTTCCTCCGTTTCTCCTCTCCCCCTTATTTTCTTTTCTCCCCCGTCACTCTCTCTCCTCCCCCCTCATTTCTTCTTCTCCTCCTTCATTCCCTCTCTCCTCCCATTCCTTTTCTTCTTTTCCCCAATCCCTCTCCCCACGATCCCCTCTCTTCTCTTCTCTACCGTTCCCTCTCCCTCTCTTTTCTCCCTAGGCTTGGCGCTCTTTCTTCTGGCGCTAGTGTTCTGGCGGGACTCCTGGGTTCCCGAGCTCCCCATCCCTCCCCCGCTAGTGCGAAGGAAGCTGTCCTCTCCTTGCCCTCCCGCCAGCCCTGGCTCATACAAAGACACTTTCGCTGTAACGGCGGCGGCTGGAAGCTGGGGACAGCGCTAAGTATTTGTCCGGGGGGAATGGCGCTGCTCCCAGACCTGAACACAACAGATGGCCCTTGAGCTCCCATCCCCTCCAGCCCCGAAGAAAACAATGATGACAAAGAGTGGGAGGATGCTGCCGCTGCCGCCGCTGCTGCTGCTGCTGGTGGCGGCGGCTGCTGCTGCTGCTGCTGCTACCTCCCCCTCTCCCCTCCCCCTCCCTCCTTTTACAAATCATCACAAAAACAAATCCGTGTCGAGAGTTTAGAGCCCCAGAGATGAATTTTTGCCCCTACCCCGCCCCCATCGTCCTCGCCTGGAAAAATCTTGCCAGCCCTTGTGGTGTGCATCCCTGAGTGAGCTCCCTGGGGGAGGAAAAGCGGGAGAGGGAGGGATGGCCGGAGGGAGGGAGGGCAGGCAGTCATTGTTATGTAACTCTATGTTTTTCTTCACTCCCGGACCAATTCCTGTGTAGGAGGCTGAGGGAAAGGCCTTGGACTGGTCTCCATCTCAAGGATGCTCTGTCATGGGAGATCCTCTGGGCCTTTCTCCCTGAAGGGACCTTAGCAGGCTCTCTAGCCAGCCTTGCTCCTTCAGCCCAAAGGGCACACCCATCTTGGGCTTCTTTCCTTCCAGGGAGAAAGGAGGAGGAGAAGAGATGGGGACCAGATGGATATAAAGATGGAATTTGGGTGTGAGGTCTCTGTAGGCTGGCCTAAATGTGAACTGGATGCTTCCCTAGCCCAGGGATGGTAATTTCCCCGCCTTTCTCCATGGAATGCTTTCTCTCCTGGAAACCATTCAATATTCCTTACCCTGGAAAAGCTTGGGGTGGAGGGGCTGTTTGGATGGGCAGAACTGGATGGTATTTTGTAGTTGGAGGGGTAGAAGGTAGGTCTGCACCCCATTTAGGGGGTCCTCATAAGTGAACAAAATGTATTTTGAAAAGGAAAAGGGATGGAGAATGACAAGCCAATCTAAAGACCCTGCTTTAGGAAGACTTTAGTGGCATTTTTCATTGGAAAGCAAAAAAAAAAAATCAGATTCCTTCCCCTCTCTTCCATTTTCCACCCTCCTCCTCCATTTACCTCCCAATAGCATCTGCAGAATGTATGATCCCTGTACCATGACCAGCCGTTACAAGGAACAGGCCTGCTGAACTTGGATGACGGGAGCTGGAAGGGGCCTCAGAGGTTAGGAGTCTGAGCACTGAGAAACTGAGACCCAAGAGGTTAAAAAGGTCACAGAATGTCTCTGGGTGAAGGAGCTCAGCTACTGCCTAGTCCAACTCCCTCACTTTACATATAAAGAAACTGAGGCAAGAGTGGTTCCTCAACAGAATCAGACTTCAGATAATTAGGAGGGGTGGCCTTTCTGATACTGCAGTCCTCTGGGTAATAGTTGGCCAAGGGCATGTTCCAGGACCATTCCTGGAGGTAGGATTGAGCCTGAGCTCAAGGGAATCTCTATTTATTTGCTTATTTGACACCTTATATGTATTTGCCCTTCTAAAAAGATGAAGTAGGAGAAAGAAGCCTGCAATATCTATATATCTATATATATGTGTATATATGTACATAGGTATATATGTGTATATATATGTGTGTGTATATATATATATATATATACACATACATATATACATATGTAGTTTATGTAGGTATATATTAGTGGCCTTATAGCCTGAGAGGAATCTGTGAGAATAGTTTCTGGACTAAAGTGAGAGTACAGAACCTCCCCTCCCCCCAAAAAACATTATTGCAGTGCCAAGGAAAGAGCATTGGGTTTGATTCCTGGCTCTTCTACTTCTCTCTGTGACCTTGGGTAAGTCACTTACCCTTTTAGGGCCTCAGTTTCCTCATTTGTAAAGGGGAGAGGTTGGACTATACTAGTCCCTTCCAGCTGTAGACCCAGTGATCCTATTTTTATGTGCTTAACCAAATACACTCACATATGCAAACCTCTGCATCTTTACATATCCTTACTGATTTGTCACACATGAGGGAACTCCCCAGGGGTGGATTTCCTTGGGAACATGGCCTCTAAGGTATGTAGATCTAGCTGCCATTTGATTAGCACATTTGGAGGTAGTAGATGGGAGTAATAGAGTCACATGTATCTGTGAGCCCTGGGGTGAGCCAGAGATTTGTCATTTGGCCATCCCATTGGTAGCCAAAATATGAATCCTCCTTTTAAACTTATGGTCCCATAAAATGTCATGATCTGGTCCAGCTTGCACGGCTTCGATTTAATCCAAAATAATAGTCAGATGTTTGTGAACATAAGATATTAATTTTGCATTTAATTGAGAACAGTTGGGGGGGGAAGTGCCATGCTATATTTCTATTTCTCTTACATCCTCTCCTGAGGTTGCTGAATAGCTTTCACAGACATTCTGCACAAATACCTGTCAAGGACGTGATAAGGGGAATCAGACCTTTGTAGTGGGGATCTGGTGGAAATATTTGCTGTCACTTCTGCATTTCCATAGATACATCTCTGTTTCACATCCACTTGGTAGTTGTGAAATTATTGGGGTGGGGGAGAGAGAGAGAGAGAGAGAGAGAGAGAGAGAGAGAGAGAGAG